GGCCCGCCTCGGGGGGGCGGGACCCAGCCAGTCCCCCTCTCTCTCCCCACCAGATCCTTAGGTGGCCGCAGCCCCGGGCCCTGGACCAGACGGTGACCAAGACCATGGTGAACACGGTGGTGGCCAACCCCGCCTTCACCTACCTCACCGCTCTGACAGACTCCAACATCGTAGCCATTTGGAGGAGGCAGTTGCCTTGAGCAGGAACTCCTGCCTCTACGCAAAGCACCGGGGACACAGCCTAACTTATTCAGCCTTTGGGCTGACGACAGGGGATATTTTTATTAAACTCTACTGTGGATGCAAAGCCTGTGGCCAAGTGTCTGCATTTGCGCGGGCCCTATCCTGTGTTCCTACTTTGGTTTGACAGGCTGGCCTGGTGACTGAGACTTCTAAAACAGTTCATGGGTGTCCACACTTTGCTTCTGCTCGAGACAGCGTCTCCATCAGCCCCTAGGTTTCCAAGTTTTGCTCCAGAATGAGTTGGTCCCTGCCAACCTCAGACAGAAATCAAGGTCTAGGCCATTCTGCTCTTTGCAGTGGCCCAGAGTGACTCAAACATTTGGTCATCAGACTCCATCGAGCCTGGCAGTCCACATGCTTGTGAACTCTCCTCTGCTTAAGTCCACACCTGGGTCATTTCCTGCCACACTTTATTGGGAAGATAAAAGAATCTATGTACAAGACACATCAGTGTCAGGGTGAGGGGCTCTCTGGGATGCTGCAGGAGGGCACAGCTGGACTGGCCGCTCTCCACTGCTTGGTGCCTGGAGAGAAGGGTCTGGCGCAGGGAGGAACTGGGTTCCCAGGCAGAGCAAAGCTCCTTCCATCCCACTACTCAATTCCCTCTTGCTTGTCTTTGATGGCCACCTGGGGGAGAGAAGGAGGCAACACTTCAGCGGGAAGGGCTGGGGCAAGGTTGCTGCCAACACAAGCCCAGCATCCCCTGACCAGGGTTCACCAGGAAACTGCTGCCATGTTCTCCAGGGGCAGCAAGCTAGGCAGCCGAAGGGCCCTCTGGGCCAGCCCAGCCCACCTGGTTCTCTGCAGCCCACATGCTGCTGCCTGGGGCTGGAGTCAGGTGCAGCAGAGGCGTTTTCTGGAGAGCAGATGGCTTAGAAGCTGAAAATCTCACAGGCTGTGGCTCTTTTCCACTCCAAATTGTTCTAGGCTCTGAGGCCCCCTGCCCTGAACAGGTATGAGCCACCCACCCTGGGAAGGGCTGCCTCCCAGACTGACAGACACCTGGAAGCGACAGGTCGTACAAGCCACACAGCAGCCAGCACCACAGACCAGACGCCCGAAGAGCAGCCCCAGAAAGCAGTAGGTCCCCGCCTCTGCAAGGGCCAGAGCACATGAGGGAACCCTAAAGGCTCGCTGCTGTCCTCACCCACAGGGCAGGCGCAGGCCTCAATGCCACAGCCCCTTGGTCCGCACGTCCCGGAGGCTGTGGTGGAGGGCCCCGTCTGTCACCCCTTCCCAGCCCAGGGTCACCCTACTGCAGCTTTGGGCATGCCGGCTGGCATCCGGTCCACCCTGCCCACTCCTCAGCTGCACCCGCTGCTCACCCGGAATCGCTCTTCCAGCAGGGAGAGCTCACTGATGAGGTCGGTGATGGCGTTGGTGAAGGCCTCCTGGGGGCTGTAGTCCGGGGTGGTCTGCACGCGGATGATGATCTTGTGCTCCAAGGGGTGGGGCACTTTGTAGCCAGCGAACAGCACCTGTGGGTCCTTCAGCAGCTGTCTGAGGCACAGGGGTGATGGCTGAGGGGGCCTCAGGCCCGGGGTTCTGGCCTAAGCAAGGCCCCAAGGCCGCCCACAGTCCCAGCTTGTGCCTGTCTGGCCCTGAGGTTTCCCCTGAAGTCTTCAAGTACAACACGCTTTTCGGAAGACGTGCTGCGTAAGGACCCCGCAGCCCCCGCCACACACCCATCCACCCTCCGTGGGGGTCACGGACTCCAGCTGGGAACAGGGATTCTGGTAGCCTCTTCCCCTGGGGAAGTCAGGAAGCCTGCCATGTCAGCAGAGACCCCCCCGGGCACTGATGTCCAGCCTGCATTCAGTAAACCAGAACACCGAAGATTGTTCCAGCCCCGGAAGAGCACATACACCAGAAACAGAGGCAGTACGGGAGAGGGACCCAGGTTCCGGGCAGCAAGTGAAATGGAATAGGAGTCCTCCAGGCAGCGCAGGCTGGCATGACTGTCTACACACACCGGGCCCCACTCTATGAGACTGTCATGTTCTGTGCCCTGAGCACAGGGGGGTCTCCTCTGGAGCAGCTCAAAGTCTAGTATGAGTACCTCGAGGGGGGCACCTGGCACAGGCAGAGACACCCCAGCAGGGAACAGCAGGGCCCCAGAAAAGCTGGGCACCCCTCAGGCTGGCTCTGGGCAGGAGTCCTCCAGGCAAAGGCTGGGCACCCTCATGGCCTGCTGCACCAGATCGGGTAGACCCTGTCCACAGCCTCAAACACAAGCCTGGAACAGGCTTGGCTTCACTGACGGCACCCGAGGGAAGAGCCAAGTCTCTGTGGTGAAATAAAAAGTCCCTGGGCCACAATGGTCATACCCCTGACCACCCACCTGGGTAGGACTTTACTGGCGTAAACAGACACCCATCAACCAGCTGGACACCCACAAGGGGTACTGGATAACCACAGTGCACCTCTTCCACCTCAATTTTTCTTTTTAATTGATATGAGGTTTTGCTATGTTGTCCAGGTGGGTCTTGAACTCCTGAGCTCAAGCAATCCTCCTGCCTGGGCCTCACAAAATGCTGGGATTACAGGTGTGACCCAATGCATCAGGCTCTCTCACCCTTGGGTGTTTTGTTTGTTTGTTTATTTGTTTGAGTTGGAGGCTCCCTCTGTTGCCCAGGCTGAAGTGCAGTGGCAAGCTCACAGCCACCCCAGCGTTGACCGGCTGGGCTCCGGCGATCCTTCCGCCTCAGCCCTCCATCCCCTGTTCTATGGAGGTCAGTCTCTGCCACATACACCTTGGAATGCCAGGCATTGCTGAGGTCACGGTCACAAACAGAGGTGGGATGGGGGAAGCTCGCTCTGACTGCTTTTGCATGCTCACTGGCATCAGGCAAGCCTACTTTTCTGTAACCCGCTGCAGGTTCCCTTTCTCAGGTAAATAAACCAATACAAAAATGTGGCTTATGGGAACGGGCGTGGGTCAGCATCTCTTTGAAAACAAGGTACCGGGATTGTGAAGTGCCAGAGCAAGCCCCCTGTAGCTCGGAGAGACCAAAGAAAATCTTATGGACTTGTGCTTTACCTCAAAGAGCCCCATTAAACACAGCCTGAGAGCCTTTGACCTGGAACTTACGACTTAATGATGTTTCCTAGGGTGTGGTCTTCTTTGTTGATGGTGAACAGACAGGCATTGGGCACCTTGGTGTCCTTGTTAATGGTGATCCTAGGGAGAGGCAGAGGCCAGACGTGAGGGCAGGGCCTCCCCTCTGCCCGCCCCGCGTCTAAACTCTGCCTCCTCCCAGAGGGCTTTCTTAACCCTCTCTGACTCCCCTTACCCCACCAGCTACCCTGACTCACTGGAACCCTCACCTACTCTGGGTGGCTGCTTTTTTTTTTGAGTTGTTGTCTCATTCTGTCGCCCAGGCTGCAGTGCAGTGGCATGCTCACAGCCACCATAGCCTCTACCTGTTAGGCTCAGGCGATCTTTCCACCTCAGCCTACCAAGTAGCCGAAACCACAGGCATGTGCCATCGCGCCGGGCTGATTTTTTGACTTATTGGAGAGATGAGGTCTCGCTATGTTGCTCAGGCTGGTCTTGAACCCCCGAACTCAGGCAGTCCTCTTGCCTCTACCTCCCAAAGTGCTGGGATTACAGGCGTGAGCCACCGTGCCCGGCTTGGCTCTTTTCTTTTCTTCTTTCTTTTTGAGTTGGAGTCTCACTCTGTCGCCCAGACTGCTTTGCAGTGGCCGCTCCCGGCCACCGCAGCCTCGACCTGCTGGGCTCCGGTGATCCTTCCGCCTCAGCCTTCCGCGTAGCTGGAACTACAGGCGCGCGCTACCACACCCAGCTCATTTTTGATTTATTGTAGAGATGAAGTCTCGCTGCCCAGGCGGGTCTCGAACCCGCGGGCTCAGGCAATCCACTCACCTCAGCCTCCCAAGGCGCGGGATTCCAGGCTGAGCCACGGAGCCCGGCTTGGCTCCTTTTTTCTAGAGCAGTTTCTTAACTGTGACCTGAACAATTCTGTTCTGTGGGGAGCTGTCTTGCACACTGCAGGAAATTAGCAGCATCCCTGACCTCTACCAGTAGCAACCCCTTGTGACGACCAAATGTTTCCAGACATTGCCAAATGTCCCCTGAGGAGCAAAACGGTCCCCCGTTGAGGGTCTGCCCTCAAGGGGCGCTGAAGCGGCTAGCAAGGCCCAGGCCACAGAACCCCGCATGCCAGGCTGGAAAGAATTAAGACTCAATGGTTACAAGGTCTAACACTGGACTGAGCTCTTTACGCTAATTATCCCCTTCAGTCTCCTCTAATAGAAAACCCTGCTTCAATACAGTGGCAACCCCGTTTTCCAGACGAGGAACCTGGGCCTCAGACCACGTCACTTGCCCAAAGGTGCGGGGTCTCTAAGCGGGGGATCCAGGAGCCAAGCCAGGCTGTTTTGCCACCAGACTCCTCCAGCCCACAGTCAACGAGGAGTCGCTGCAGCTTTGACCCAGGCCAAGGACAGATCAGAGGGGAGCTTCAGCGCCATCACTCCTGCTGTCGCATGCAGGATGGAGGTGGCGGGCGGGAGACGAGGGAAGAGGCTGCCAGATCCCAGAGAAAGAGGACTCTGAAGCCAGAAGTTCCAGGTTCGAACACAAGCCCCGCCACCTCCTGCGTGCCGGGGGCAAGTTACTCAACTGCTCCGCGCCTCAGTTTCCTCGTCCGCTAAAAGGCACACTCGCCCCTGCCCCTCAGGGCTGCCTTAAGTTTGGGGACAGGCCGAGGGACGCTCCGGCAGAAGCTGCCTCCGTCCCCCGGGCAGAGGACGGGCAGGAGAGGCGCAGAATCCGCCGGAGCTGACAGCCGAGGGCCCGCGAGCCTCGGCCCGCCCCTCCCCGGCCCCGGCCCCGGCCCCGGCCCCGGCCCCGGCCCCGGCC